CCTGGGTGGTAAAAGGTGCTGAGTTTTTCTTGACTTTTAGTGGTTTATCTTTCAGTCTCATTAGACACGGTAAATCTGTGGCTTGTTGAGATCCACCGAGTGCTAATTTTCCTTTGTTCCAGGCCCTGAGTGAGGGGATGCTGCTGCTCGGCTGCGTGAAGGAGTCTAACGACTTCGAGTTAGTGGTCAGTTTGCCTAATGGACTCACTGGATTTGTGCAAGTGACGCACATTTGCGATGCCTACAGCAAAATGCTGAATGAGCAAGTGGCCACGGAAGAGCTCCTGGAGGTGAGGGGAGTCCTGAGGGATGGTGTGTGTCCTGGGACTGGGTAAAATAAACGGGGTCTTGCAAGCAGAGGCCCAGCGGGAGAACCCAGTTTCCACTGGTGTACAGGAGATTCTGATCCCTTCCCTGTCCTGCTCTCTTGCTTCCTTGGCCAACAGGGCCTGTGAATGCTAAAGGCAGCATGTTCAATGCACTGCTCAATGATAGTCATCACTGTATACCCCTCCCTACTTAAGGAGTTCCCACAGCTACTATATGTGGCGGGGGGACTTGAAGGATGAAGCTGGGGATGTGTTTGGGAGAATCTTCTACTTTCCAGCAGGGATTCAGAGGACTCTGTCCTCTTCCCCAGCCCCTATGCAGCCCCCCAAAAGATGGCTTCTGTGATGTTCTGTGCAGTGTATTACCAGCTCATGCTATGGCAGATAGGTATTGAAGGTAATAAGGCTGCTAGGAAGAGACAATGTAATTCCCTGATTCCCCGGATGTTCCAAAGAAAGGAAGGGAGATCGTCCGTTACCCTTCGTGCACGTTTGTATTTCCCCTTCCCACCGTCGTCCGTGCCTGTTTAAAACTGAATTTTGGGAATGGCAAGATGCTGATGTCCCCTTGCTCTTTTCTCACCTTTTACCTCTTTGCTAATGGGAGACCTGAGACTGGGACCATAATCAGCTCTGGCGATGCGTCTTAATCCTGACCTGTAGCACCTCCTGCTGTTCAGCCTGGCAGCTGTGTTGAATCCTTTGACCTCCGCCTTGTAACATTACATACATCCTTTTGTGTGTCCGTGTCCGTCCGTCCCCCGCCTCTGAGCCAGGCTTGAGACTCCAGGCTGGAGCACAAGCCCACTGTACCCAGGGGCCCAGTCTTTGTGGCATTTAGCTGCTGCTGAGAATAGAGCTTTCCTCTTGGGTTTGGATTTCAAAAGCCTCTTCAGTGACAAGTTCTGGTCGCCTGCATTATTTAATGTTAATGATTTTACGGTTTTCCTGATCTCCTTTAACTGTCTTGCTGTTTAGGATTTGAACTCGCTGTCAGACCTGTACCCCCCTGGAATGCTGGTCAGATGCACCGTGACCAGCGTGGGGAAAACCATGGATGGACACCAGAGTGTCAAGCTGTCAATTAACCCCAAAGATGTCAACAAGGCTCTGAACACCACGGCTCTTAGATCAGGCATGGTAGGTGTTCTGGGTGCACCGCAGCCTCCCTGCACGTTGGAGATCGCTTCCCCTTTGCCCCCACATCTCCTTGCGTGAATTCAGATTCGTCACTACATGCAATTAAAGCAAGGATCCGTGCCTTTCCTGGTGTAATTCCTCTTGGTAGGAAGTGTGGTGTAGTGGGTAGAGCGCAGGCCTGAGCTGTGACCCCTGAGATCTATTCTTCTGCCACTGGCTTGTTGGCTTTTGGGCAAGTTACTTAACTTCTGCTGCCTCCGCTTCTCCATCTGTAAAATGGGGATAATACTTACCTGACCACCTCACAGAGGTGTTGTGAGTTTAGTTAATTATTCTCTTGCACCCAGTTTCACCAGCAGTTGTGGGTGCCTGTTGCTTTTCAATGTCTGGATGTTACCAGAGCTTCAGGAAGCCAAGAATCCCCTGGATACATGCCTTGGTTGGACAAGAGGACAGCTGAGACCACATTGCCAAAGGAGCCAAGGTCTAATGTGTCCAAAGCAGTGGGAGGAATTCCAGCACTCTGACCCCAGGAGAGAAGGCAATCTGAGTGCGAGGAACCTGCTGAGAGAATTGTTCTCCTTGCTGATCTAACCGTTCCTTTATATTGTTGAATTGTAATGTTTCCCTCCCCGCAGTTGCTCTCTGGCTTGGTATCTAGTGTGGAAGATCACGGCTACCTCATAGATATTGGAGTCAGCGGTGCTAAGGCATTTCTGCCTCGTCAGAAATCCCAGAGTTACATCAAATCAGCCAACAAAGGTAAGCCATCCAGCAGGAACTAAAGCTGGAGATGGAGAACTGGCTGGCTCAGAGGAGCGGGGTGGGACTGGAGCCTTTCACCTCTACCTTCCTGACTCAAACTTAGCTGAGGTCAGGAGTGATCAGAAGTCTCTGCCGACGTACAGTTGTGAACAGGCCATTGAACGATGAACTGTTGGCTGTCGGTCCATTTCCTGATCGCCTGGTGTCCTCCTTGTAAACACCTCCATCCTGACTGGCACTAGTCATTCCGCGTGTTGGACACTATTGCAGAGAGGCCCAGGTTCAAATGGAGATGGGCACTACCTCTCCCCTTTCATTTCCCCCACCCTGAGAAGTAGTCGCTCTGGGTCCTGGTAGAGGCACGTTGGCAGGATGGTGTAGGAGAAGCGTGTGCTGCTGCCGCCCATGCTTTGCCTGTCCTGAGGATTGATTGGTCTCCAGGATTGTCTAGACAGCCCCTTCCCATAGCACTAAATCTGAAATCAACCAACCAAGTGGCAGCTTCCTGGTTAAAGGCATGTGCTCCAGAGCTGTATTGGTAAAAGTCCCTAATCGCACTAGAACGGAAAAGCTCTGAGAAAGCACCTTTCTCTGCTGCTTTGGTCAGAGGGCTCTCTTTGGGCTCAGGCTGGCAGAGACCTGAAGTATGTACGATCTGGTGGCTACAGGAAATAGATTTGTGGCCTGTCATCCACAAAGGTCATGGGTAAAAGAGAATTAGTCTCTGCACCCTAGATCTGGTGCCAGGAGGCGGGAGGAGCTTGCATTGCTTCTCCCTGTGATGCATGTGTTCTCCGGATGAGCATGGAAAAAGTCATTCTCATCCCCATTTAATTGTATTACATTAGCGCCCAGAGGCCTGTTCGGGCCAGAGCCTGGTTGTGCTAGGCACTACAAACACAACAGTAGGCAGGGTCCTTACTGCAAAGAGCTAACAGTCTAAGAAAACAAGCAATATACAGAGGGAGAGGCCTGGGGAGAAAATTGGATAAGTTCAGTCTTTATACACATAGATACTTACTATTTTTAAAAAACTGCTTTGTAATTGCATAACTAAAGCATTGCGTTTCCCTGGCTGCCAGCCATTTAAACGCCGACTGATTTTCTGATAGGTGTTGCAGCAGAAGTGGATTTAGAACAGAGATTTTGAAAGAGCAGAGGGTAGTGACCTCATAGCTCCTTTCAGGGAGGCTGTTCCATGCACAGGCGGGCCTGGACAAGTATGGCTGAAACTGGCATTGAGGGCAGGTTAGCAGGGTCTGGCACTGTGATAAGAGTGGCTCAGGAGGGAGGGTCTGGAAAAGAGGCTTGAATTTGGCTGGAGAGAGGGAGCTAGCGAAGGGTTTCCGAAGGGGAAGCAGGGGAATGTGACAGACAGGAAGATGATGAGGGGTTTTTGGTATGTGTCCTGTCTTCGTAGGGGCTGAGCTGAAAATAGGCCAGTACCTGAACTGTCTCATTGAAGAAGTGAAAAACAACGGAAGAATTGTCCGTCTGTCCATCACTCAGTCGGAGGTTGCTGCGGCCATTGCAACAGAAGAACAGAACTGGGCGCTCGGTAACTTACTGCCAGGGCTGCTGGTGAAAGCCCAGGTGCAGAAGGTAAAACTCAGCTTTCTCTGAAGGATTGTTGAGGTGGAGTTATGATCGCGGCTGTGATGGACATCTTCCTATGTATTCTGCCCCAGCAAAACTGAGCTGGAACTCAATGAATTTACAAATCCAGATAAGTTGTTTCTGCCTGCCAGCACCACCCGCTCAATCTCCGAAATGGAGCGCTGATCTGTGCCCAGTCACCAGGCGTAAAGACGCCAATATCTGTGCTTGGCTGGCGGTGGTGCAGTGCGAGGCAGAGTCCAATCCAGTTTGCTCGTCTCCTGCTCTTGGTCTTGTAGCTCTGTGGAAGAGCAGTTACTCTGTAGGAGTAAAATCTTCCATTGTGTCAGGCAATGAGCACATCTGGCTCAAAAAGCACAAGGGCAGTAACCAGGCACTGTTGTTCTGTAACAACACTAAAGTGTCTAAAAGCCCCAAGTATAAATGTAAGTGGCAACTTGCTGGCAGGATGAGTAAAGCATTAACCTTTCAACTCTCCTTGCTGGGCATCCTCTGGACCTTTCTGTTGTGGCTGTGGAAACGGGAGAAACTTTCCTCCTTTTCATATGAACATTTCCATACGTTCATTCAGAAGTTGAATTAGGGAAAACATGAACGGTGGCACTCTCCCCAGCTTCGCCCACTTGACACCACTTTCAGTACATTGTGCAGATCTTTGATGGTCCTTCTCCTTTGATCATTGGTGAAATAGCTGGCACTGAAAGTTTCAGCATTAAACTTCGAAGTTAACAGTCAATCATGTGACTGGATGCAGCTGACACTGCTGAATTCCTGTTTCAGGCTGCCTACAGACTCAGGCAGACTTCACTGTATTTGTTTACACTGGGTTCTTTTTTTTTTTTTTGCAACCACAGTGGCTGGGATCTTAGTGGTTGGTTTGTTTTTAAATGGAACATTGGGATTTGGGAGTGCAAGATGGGAAAAACACCTGCTTGCAAACCAGCGCAGTTTGATTCTGGACTTGAGATCAAATGTACAATTAGAAAACTTAAAAGTATTCTTTTCTAGTAGAGGCAAAAAGCCAACTCTTGGGCAATTAACCTGTCCTTTTCGGCGTGTGTATTATTAAGCACGGACAAGATGGTTATTAGTGGAGGAAGTAAAGTGCCGTCCGCATCTTGATCTGGATGAGAACTTTTAACACGGATTTAGAGTCATAGAGTTTGAGGTCAGGAGGGAACCATCAGATCCTCTAGTCTGACCTCCTGTATATCACAGATCACCAACACCACCCAGCCGCCCCCAAGCCAAGCAAACCACCAGAATTAGGCAAAGATGTTACAGCCCTCGGGACACTCCACTGTTGTGTGTCACAGGCAGAAAACAGGAGGGACTGAATGCACCGATGCCCGCGGCCCCTGCCATGGTAGGGCATTGATTTAGTGATTTAATTTTACGCCCTACAGAAGAATTTCTCTTTCTTGGTTTAGGTGACCCCTTATGGCATCACTCTGAGTTTCCTCTCCTCCTTCACTGGGATCGTGGACTTCATGCACCTGGATCCGAAGAAAGCGGGGAGTTATTCACAAAGTCAGACGGTGAGTGGATGCTGAAGCGGCTGTAGGAACCTGAAAGCTGCTTAGCCTGTGTGTCTCCTTTCCTTCTCTAACCATTTTTTGGTAAAGGTTTTTTTTCTGTGGAATCGGCGGTGTCAGCAATTTTGTTGGCACGGACCTTCTTTCTACACCCCCGGTAAGGAGAAGGGAAGCAGCCTATGTCCTTGAGTTTGAACGTAGCCGCTGGAGAGTCCTGGGGAAGGTGCCCCTTTACAGTTTTGGCAGCTGAGAGGATGGGGAATGGCTTGTGGCGGGGGCTGATTGCCTGCAGTCTCTCTCCCCTCCCCTTGTCCGCACCAAACTAGCTCACACCATTTAATCAGATAACTAAAGAAAAAATGCGCAGCCCATAAAGACATTGGAGCTGAACGATAACACCGCACGTTCCATTGTCCTTGCTCTACCTCGGCAAAGCCTCCGTGAAGAGATCAGGAGCCAGGTGTATGTGATGTGAGAGTGCAGGGTTGAAAATGGCTCTCGGCTCTTCTGGTTGCCAGCTCGTCTTACTATCCTGCTGTCCTCTCTCCCCTGCAACAGGTGAAGGCCTGCATCCTCTCTGTCCATCCCACCTCCAAAGCAGTACGGCTCACGCTGCGGCAGGTCTTCCTTCAGCCTGGCAGCGTGCTTGGCCAGCTCGCCAGCAGTCGGATTGGCATGGTGGTGGAAGAGTCAGTGGTGAAGAGCTTCCACGCAAAGACGGGTGCCATCTTTGAACTGGACGACGGCACGCTGGCTTTTGCACGTGTAAGTAATAATGCCCCCGTGGCCGGGTTATAATGTGAGAGGGGTTGCCACAAGCTGGCGTGAAATCGCCAACCAAACCAGCGACGTCTAGGGAATGGTATTTTAAAACGTAAGTGGAAACGGTTGTAAATAATGGTTGTGCCGCAGCATTTGCAACCCGAACGTTGCACTGTGTTGCTAGTGCATGAGAACCAGGAAGTGAAACTGAGTATGCTCTATATTCTACTAGAATTCTTTGAGGGGGCCAACAAGCATATGGACAAGGCAGATCCAGTGGATATAATGTATTTAGATTTTCAGAAAGCCTTTGACAAGGTCCCTCACCAAAGGCTCTTAAGCAAAGTAAGCTGTCATGGGCTAAGAGGGAAGTTCCTCTCATGGATTG